TGCCGCCTCCCTCACAGAGCGTTCGTCCCAACCGGAGAGCTCTGAATGCCATTGAAACACTCAATGAGCTCAGACCTAATTTCGGACACGCCCTGCACCACGCGTGATTGGAAGTTCCAACGTGTTGGTGCACAAGCTGGGAGACGGCAGCTACATATCTGGCGAAGGAGGTCAGAGCGCTTCGGCGAAACGGAAAAAAATGAAGAAAACCCCGAAACATTTGCAAAAAATATACGGACGAGAGGGGTATCAAGACACATGTTTTTAATAACGAGGTTAAATTGGTGTGCATAACAATGTAAAAAATGCGCATGAGGAAAATCTTCTTTTATATAAACTTGAACACCATGTTTCGACCCACTCATGACTGCCGTGCCGTCATAAGTTTGAGCTATCAATTTTGACTTCGCGTTGTAAGGCTGTGACACTTCTTTCAGTACAGCCGATATCCCGCAAGCCGTGCGATCAACGATTGGTACAAAGCTGTGAAATCTCTCGGTAGGTTTACCGTCTTTCACAAACCGAAAAATCACAGCCAGTTGGGAAACGCACGTGATGTCAGTTGTCTCGTCAGACTGGATCGAAAGGAACTGGCAATTCTCAATTTCCAGAGCCAAATGTTGTAAATAAATTTTATACATTGAGTCGAGCAAATCATTTTGGATATCCTTAGATGTCCCTTTCGAAACAGTTGCGGCATCAAGATGATCTCTCAATACTGTATCTAGGGATGCGGTATATTCCACCATATCCAAAAATACCCCTCTATTAGAAGAGCCAGCCCGTTCATCGTGCCCACGGAGTGCGAAGTAGTGCATCAACCTTATTCATTATGAGGTCTAAGGCTAAGAAATGCGAAGCCGGAAAGAAGTGAGGAGCTCAAAAGGAATGTGGAAAATCGAAAGCAAATGGACTAAAGGTCTCTAACTGATTCATATAGCGAAACAAGCGACAAAATCGAAGGCGAGGAAACTATCAACTCTTCAAGCAACCTACGAACGAGAAGGAATGCGTGAATATGTCAACACGTTGTTGTAAGAAACGTCGGCATTGTGTCGTCATAATTTCGGGTCTAGCCCCGATAGGCCCCGATGATTTAGTAAAATAAACAGAAAACAAACGAGACAACCGCGGCGAGTGGAAGATAAAAGAGAGAATACGATATACAATGAGCAACCGGGGCAAAATCGGCGTCGCCCCGTCGACGTTCGGCGAAGGCTTTGCGAGCGAAAAATGAACCATGTCGGGAGAATATGGCTAGTGTAGACAGTCACAACCGATATTGAGGTATTTTTCGAATATTTTTCATTATACCGAAAAAACAACCGGCCCCGGTTGGCCCTATTGACGCGCCGCCACTGTTAGGTATATATATATAAAATAAATTTCCCAGATTTTAAACTCCATGTCATTATCCCTTTCTTGCATGGCCCGAATTTTCGGCGGTTCATTGCGAAAAAGGCTTTAGATTTTAGGTCGTCAGAAAACTTGAGGTGTATAAATAGCATGGGTTTAAAAATTACCTGTCAAAGTTTTTCCAAAAGCTGGTATGAGTTACTTGTACGAAAAATACTCATTAAGTTGTAACCAGATAAGAAATGTCATGTCTTACTCCTTTTAAAGCCTCTTCTATTAGCTCATACGTGATTCCTTCCATCATTGGCCAAGTAAATTTTCGAATATGTAAACATTTTACTCAACCATGCATGGCCGTTGAGCCAAGAGTAGAACGTAAAATCAATCGTGAATTTCGTTGTAACAACGCACACTGACTCATTTAATAATTGTTGCGCTTATTATCATCGAAAATGATTACAATTGTTAATTTATGAAGCATTTGGGAAGTAATAATTAAGGCATGACATAATTAAATTATTAAGTGGAGTGCTGAATTTCCAAATTCCGTAAATAAAATTGAGCATTACTCGGTAAGTATTTTAGCTATAATAACCGTCGGGGTGTTGTTTTGTTGAAAAAAGGCGTTAAAACTTGAAGAAATTAGTTATAATTAGCGTCTGACCCTCTATTAGGCACAAAGGCCTAGAAATGCCTTTATTATCAATTTATTCAATTGCTATTTTAAATCAACAGTCAGGATTCACGCAATCGCCAGATCTAATACTAAAATAACACGAACACCCATAGAAAAGCATGTGAAACTCAAGTACCGTTTTTATAAATATCTGCGTCTAGGCCCTAGGCCTAGGGCATACTAGAAATATAAAACTTTGATATCCAACGACCCCTTATATTTGCAAAAAAAAACAGAAAGAGCGGGAATATAGATTACTAACTTTAGGATATCGCCGCCGAAACGATCGCGATGACAAAGACAATCAAGAGATTATGATGAAATTACCCAATAACCAGTAAACTAACGCTTTATTGCGGACTTAATTTCCAAAGGAAGTATTGACCTCCAACGTTCTGGATCCCTGTTGTTTAGTAAAAATATTCATTATTTGGTATTAGTTAAAAATATTCGTATGCCGCATGCGGCTCTCAAAGCCTAGTTTGAAAATCACTGATGTAAACCATTTTATAACTCTGCAAAACACTCTTATGATGGAGAGAATTTTACTGGGGTCAAGGGTCGTGGAAACAGCCCACCTGAAAACCAAATTGCTCTAGTCGTAAAGGTTACTAGGGTTTAATGTGAAGTTCTTTTAGTCCGTCCGTGCGTTTATCGTATGAGCGTTAACTGGTGTACGGTACCGGTACTCGTAACTCGTACGGTACCGGTACAGGGGTCTCTTTTTGGATGGAGTGGTTAGGATTATCAGGTGGGGGTTAGGATTAACATAAGCAAAAATTGTTATGCTACGCCCACTACAAGTAGGCTGCTTTAGGTCTGTAGGTACGAAACTACGGTACGGTACCGGTACACTAGACCCGGTACCGGTACGCAGGTACGGTAAGTTGAGCGGCTGACGGCTAACTCGCCATGGACCACTCGCCATGCGACGGCGGTTAACGGGTACCGGTATGCCTGCAACTGCACGAAGGCTCTTCTTGTAATTCTGGAGATGGAAAGGTGGCTGTTTCACTTACAACTTCAAAAGCGAGGATAAATATATTAAATTAAATGTGTTTGATTAGAATACTGTGCAAGGGATACCGGTAACAAAGTGACAAAAAAACGTGCTCATATACCGTACGGTACGGTACTCGACACGCAAAGGATGTCTCAACTTATCATTTTCATCTAAGCATGCTAAATATATCACTATATTAATTTATTGTGTGAGCACTAAATCAGTAAATCAACAGTATACAATCTAACCTATTACTTTGTTATCCCTTGCACAGTATTCTAACCAAACGCATTTAATTTAATATATTTATCTTCGCTATTGAAGTTGTAAGTGAAACAGTCACCTTTCCATCTCCCATTACAAGAAGAGCTTTTGTGCAGTTGCGGGCATACCCGTTAACCGCCGTCGCATGGCGAGTTAGCATCCACCCAGTTGAGCCTTGCCCTTAAATAAGGATGGGATAGGATTTACATATTTATCCCGGGGGAGAGGAAAGTCGATAGGACGGCTTAATCATATGGCGAACCACGGCCTCTCGTCCGGTTACCAGGTCAGGTATGGGATTAGTTAGCCAGTTATTTGTTTTCGAAAGCATGAACTTGATGGGGGAGAAAGTCGTAACCGACCAGCGGTTACGTGAACCACCCTACGGCTGTACGGCAGCGAGAGGCAGGAGATTCGAACCCACAAAGGGTAATCAGAGACGCGGTGGCGAGCGTATTCCTAACGCTTAGCACGATGCGCCACACCGCCGAGCCGAGATAGGGCGATTTTTTTTTCTACCCATTCGATATCAAGAAATCTCTCCTGCACTGTTTGAATGATTAATCCAAACCGTTTGAGAGAGGAACTGTTTATTATTTATAAGTAAATGGATATCGGTTTACATATATCGTATACCTGAAAATATCATAGTTTTCCACTGTCTGACTGTGTATTTTTGTTTTTGATAAATGAAAATAAAAGACACACCCCAGAATACGGTATGCCCTAGTGATATTTCCTGAACGAAAATTGAAACAAGACCCTGTCCTATTTCTGTATTTGCTGGGAAACACACATATATATCTTATGTTTCTCTCTTTTTTCTGTCTTTAATTTTCTCTGTGTGATTGTTTGTACTGTGTCGTATGTATGTGTCTGTGTGTGTGTTTTAATTATCTTATCGGTAATACTATTGGATGAATGTACCACTTCTTTTGACAACACCCTATATCTAAAATCTTCACGGTTTAAACCTTACCGCATACGGTTTAAACCTTACTCAAGGTTCTGTTCGCTTTCTTGATTTTGTCATCAGTTTTGTATTATCAATTACTTTATTTTCCTTTAAGCTGATTGTAGAGTTAAAGAAACAGGTCTCTCGTCCGGCTACTAGTCCATGTCCCTATGGTTTTTCAGTGATTTTCACTCGAAAAAATCACAGAATCGCCGGCTTTATTCTAAAGCAGTTGAGCCTTTTGAGGTGATTTCTTCCTAGGCTAGTGCCCTTTAAACCGTCTTTTAACTTGTATAAAAAAAATGATAAAATCGACTGCATAGCCTCTAACATATATCAGTATATTATTGAAGGATCGTTCAGATAAAAACAATACTTTCACTTTGACTCAGATGATTTGTATCAAATTGACAATTAAACTTAGCAACATTTTTCTCTCAATGCGCAAATCAATTGTTTTAGTTTTATTTGATTGTTACTCTTTGCAAATAATAACTTTCCTTGTGTAGTTTAAAAATAAAATCCGCATATATGTGCAAAAGTTTATTGAAGTATATTCAGTATACTGATGATCAACTCCTCTGATGCAAATGAGCACTATTGTTTATATATACACTTGTAAGGTCGGCATAATGAAATTGCATAGTTCTCGTGATCATTTTCACAAACTTTGTTTCTATTGTTTAACGATTAACACAGGTCTGAGCAAATTTGTATTTCCCATACAAATTGAGTATAAGACAGAAACCAATGTATGCTTTTATTACTTACAGTTTATGTCATTTTACTTAAATTTTAGTGCACATACAAGTAATAATGTTAAGCCTGAACGCACCATGTATACCATGGGCCTGGAGTGCTTTCATGCAATGCCATTATAAAACATTAGTAAAATTGAAGGAGAAAATGTGTGTAGATGCCAGTATTTCTAAATGGACCGACAGAGAGACAGATGCTAGTCTCTCATTTCAGCACATCAAAATACAGCAGTCACTTATCGATAGACTGATACCTGCCATCGCGAAGTTGGAAGGTCCGAATAGTCATTTGCGAATTGAAGCTTTAACTCCAAGAACTTTTGCTAGTAGCTTGTTGCAGGCCTCGTCCTCTGCACATTTCCAATACACTTCAGTACGAAATTTCAGAACAAAAGCTTCACATAGCAAAATAGAACTTGAGCAGTTGCCGCAAGAAAAACTCATTGAAGACATGGTGAAGAACACAACTAAATCTTTGGATTTGAACACAAGAGAAGCCATGAGCTTCACTTTGGGCCTAAAAGAAGGTGTTAGCTTAAAACCACCTAATGAAGAGTCTGGTTCTTTTAAATGGAGGAGGGTTGGATCGATATTTTTTGTCGGCATTGTAGCATATACCATTTATAATTTGTTAATGTCTAATGATTTAAATAAATCGGAAGGTTTTGACGGAGCCTCCGGTAAAAAGGACTACAGAGCAGAAATTCCTGATGTTTCATTCGATGATGTTAAAGGAATAGATGAAGTTAAGAATGAACTCAAGGACGTTGTTGAGTTTTTACGAGACCCTGATAGATTCACCGATCTTGGTGGCAAGCTTCCCAAGGGTCTTTTATTAGTTGGTCCTCCTGGAACCGGTAAAACTCTCTTAGCTAAAGCTATTGCTGGAGAAGCAGATGTTCCTTTTTATTTTGCTTCAGGATCTGAATTTGATGAAGTGTTTGTTGGAGTTGGAAGTGCAAGAATAAGAAAACTTTTTGCTGAAGCACGTGAAAATGCACCTTGCATAATATTCATAGATGAAATCGATGCTTGTGGAAGCACCCGAACATCATCCCCAATTCAACCATATGCAAGACAAACAATAAATCAACTCTTGCAGGAAATGGATGGATACAGTGAATCAGAAGGTGTTATTGTGCTGGCTGCGACAAATATGTCTGATGCTTTGGATAAAGCCCTAACAAGACCTGGCCGTTTCGATACACAGATCAATATCTTACCACCTGATATCAAAGGCAGAAAAGAAATACTGGAACTCTATTCTTCAAGGATAGTGCATGGTGATGATCTTGATTTGGACAAAATTGCCTGTCTCACTGGGGGGATGACTGGAGCTGCTTTATCTAATCTAGTGAATCAAGCAGCTCTCAGAGCGGCTCAACAGAATAAGTCATATGCAGAGCAGTCTGATTTTGAATTTGCTCTCGACAAACTTCATTTGGGACCTGAATTGAAAACTCGCGTCAGAACAGAAGCAGAATTGGAACTAACCGCTTACCATGAGGCTGGTCATGCTTTAGTTGCCTATTATAGTCCCAATACGCCTTCTATTTACAAAGCTACTATTGGACAAAGAGGCCCTGCACTTGGACACGTCTCCTATATTCAGACAGAAGAAGATGAAACTGGCTCCACCAAAGCAAAGTTACTAGCCATGATCGATGTTGCAATGGGGGGAAGAGTTGCTGAAGAAATATTGAAAGGCAGTGACCATGTTACAACCGGTGCGTCATCAGATTTGAAACAGGCTACTAATATTGCCTATCAAGTTGTCTGCTCAATGGGTATGTCAGAAAAACTTGGTTTTATGCAGTATTCCTACAAACATTCAAGCCCAGAGACTAAACTCAAAATTGAGGCTGAAGTGAATGAAATCCTTAAAACTTCATATGCAAAATCAAAGGACTTGCTCACAAAGCATTCTCACCAACATAAACTGCTTGCTAAAGGACTTTTGAAATATGAAACACTGACTCTTGAAGAAATAAAAACTCTGCTATCGACACAAAACATCAAATCAGTAGAAAAAATGAGGAATCAGACCTTGTCACAGAATGTTCCAGAAAACTCAGAACTGAAACCCGGTACTGATAGCATTCCCTCACCAATGTAAATTATTTGTATCTGGTATTTAATCATAACTTGTCTTTTGTGCATATTATTCTTCATTTCCTTCGCATTGCAATTTTTATCGAATTATAGTAATAAAAGAATTCATTTGACAGAATCCATTGCTATCTTACCATTTGCACAGTTGTCGTGTCATCGGCCCTGAAGTTACGTGCTATAAAACGATCCTGCACTCCGGCAAAATGATATTTATTTCTATCTACTGCTTGCGACAGTAACAACCATTTGTGCCAAATGAAACATGTCAAGCATTATAGAAAGTTGATTTAAACCAGCTTTTATCACAATAGCTGCAGACTTTTAACTTTATGCTGCAGGGGTAGTAGGAACATGTTCGTATTAATACTACCAAGTTTTTGTATATATATTGCTCTACCTTGGCCACCATGGTTCAACACAGCAATTTCTTTCTACGGTACTTCCTATCAATCGGCGGTAGGGGTTTCAAAATATTAAGAGCATATAACTCTTTTGTATTGAACTTGTATTTGGTTCCTCATTTCATGAAAACATCCAGAGCTTTAACCATGTCACACGTGCTAATGTATGTCACATCGTCAACAACCCCATAAACATGACATAACTTTCAGACACTGGGCATCAGCTCACAACATTCAAAGAACCCCCTTTATGCCAGCACTGTCCACCAAGGGTTACCAATTCGTAGGCTCTTTGATGTCTGAAATCCTAGTAAGCTTTCCCCTCACAAACGACTCTCAAAACCAATTGGTTGTACTAGGAGAAAAAACTGCAAATTGTGAACTTTTTATTGAAAAAAAAAAAAAAAATCGCAAAGACAAGTTTACATCAGCTCAGATTGAAAATAGCAAATACATGACATCATATTTTGATTGCATGTGATTAACAATATATCATTCAGTATACATTGCATCGCTATCACTATTTCCCTCTTCTGCATCAACTCCTTGCTGACCAGTATCCAAAGACCCCTATAAAAGGAAGTGGGCAATTAAATTTGATAAGAACCGAGGTGAGACCACAATATTGAAAAATCAGTGTCATCATTCTATAATTTCACTCTTTCCATTCTGATATGACAAGATAATATTTTCTGCGCGCTAATAATGTACTTTTTACTCCATATTATTTCTTACACTTTCAAAATTGATGTCTTGTTGTTGATTCGATATTTTATTCAAACCTTCAGATGCTTCTTTATTGTTCGAATTCAAACTAAATGAAAAAAATTTCATTGAAAAGCATATCTAAACAGGAAAGAAAATATTTGCCAAAGCTTACAGAATTGATTCAATTTTAACTATTTTGCAATGTTGCAAAACAGCATATTCAGTACAGTATGAATGATGACAGCTTTCGCTCAGTTATTATTCATCAACGACCAATCAATGCCATACAAAAACGATAATAGGTTATAATAATAAAAACGTCATTACCTCAGAGCTATCGTGTAGTGTTCCACCGCTTTCGGATAGTTTTTTACTTCCTGGTAACAGTTTCCAAGTATAGTGTGCATTGGACTGCTGGAGAAGTACTCAACTGTGTCTGACAGGAACTTAATTCCTTCCGTATACTTTTCATATTTGTATAAAACATTTGCTTTTACGATGATTGCATATTGGTTGTTTGCTTCTAAAACCAGTGCCTTGTTGACATAATTCAAGGCCTTGTCCTAAATATAGAAATGGAAATTTTATCCATCATGTATGTACTAGTAAAGTACATTCATCTTATTGCAAAAATGCATATATACCGTAATCATTAGCACAAGATTCTAATAATCAATCTCTAGAACTTTATTTCAAAATACTGGATGAAAAGGAATTGAAAAATTTTTACCTTGCCATTTTGATCACACATGTGTACAGATGCACAGAGCACTAAGCAACTTGTCAAATAGCCAATCGTATTCAATGCGCTATGTGCAACTGCAATAGCTTCATTTGTTCTTCCATTTTGCAACTGTGTTTCAGCAAGTTCCTTATAACATACAAACCTAAACCAATGGTAATACTCAGTGTCAGGGTTAAAATATTTTTATGTATGGTACTTTCAAAATTTGACGCAAACTATTTTGAATAACACAATCAACCTCATCAGTTGAACTTATCTATGAACAAAAGCAAATGGAATCAGCACAATTTGGTTCAACGTTCAACTCTTCAGAACATTCATTCCTAATCAGAAAGAAAAACATACCAGTTGGGATCAATTCTAGACGCTTCCCTGAAATGTGCAGTAGCATCTTTTATTTCATCAATTGCACGTAAAGCACATCCTTTCAATATAAGGGCCTTAAATGAATGAATTCGAAATGAAACACAATTAGAATTAAACTCATTATGGTGCAACTGACCAGTGGCCATCCTAATAAATGTTTGTTCACGTTGAAAAAAATTTAAACATATAATAGCCAACAAGTTGTTAAAACCATATGTAAAATATTTTGAGATTTTATTTTTTCCCACCAAAATTTCATCTGTAGTATTACACAGCGAAGAGTTTAAGTAAAAGCTTTAGCAACAAGCTCAATGAAAATATTCCACAGGACAGTCCGTCTCCCATGTGATAATTATGGTTAAATTACAGTTCCAAATTATTTTAATAAGACAGGACAATAACATATAATAATCTATACCTGGACACATACAGGATCGAGTTTAGTTGCTTGCACTGCTAGATATACAACACGTTTGTAGTCCCCCTTTGACAATGCTCGATATCCAAGTGTAACCCACGGTGCAGGGTGCTGGCAAGTTATGGAAAATAATTCACAAGCCACTTTATCCAATTTTTCGTGTTCATCCTCTTCATATAAAAGATAAGCATAGCTGAAAAGTTGTAAATAGAAGTACAGTTCTAAGAAGGTTAGTGATATAGAGATACCATAGTGCAGACTTCTCTATCTGGACTGAAAAACATAAAATCAGTAGTAGTAAAATGGGAAGGAACACAAATGACAAAAATATTTAGTTACAAAATTTTAAAACACTTGAATACCTAATTGCAAAGTCAAATTTTTCAGCACGGGTATGTTGCTCTGGCTATTCAATAATGGACAAGTCAACTGAAAATTTCTTTACAACATAGAATTGGTATGTTGGATGATATTGATAATCTTTGAAAACGCTATCAGTAATTTCAAATTCACTGTGAACTATGGTTTAGGTAAATATGAGAACCATGCAATGACAAAGCATTGTTTAAAATAAAAAAAAAATTTTTTCACACATGTAAGCCTATCTGTTTCACCTAAAAAGTTGAGTAGATGGCCGAACAGAATGAATTCAATTAGTTCTAATTTTTGTAGCTATCTTTTCTTGAGTGCTCTGTATTCAGAGCACCTCAAAATAAAAGAAGCAAAACCCAAGATTATTACCATTTATTAATATTTTCAAATTTGCGATAGACGTAATTTACTTACATATCCATGCCATCAAGTAGAAACGGGTTATTCATTCTTGCACTTTCAAAATAAACGATTGCAGATTTGTTGTTCCCAGTGCGAGCACGCAGCTTTGCAAGAGAACAGTGTACCTGTGCATCACCAGCAATAGCAGTTTTTTTCATCAATATGTTGAGGTGAGAATAACAATTGTAGTATTCCTAAAAATAGAAATGATTTGTAAAACAAGCATAAAACAATAACAAATTCATCAGATGAAAATATTAATAAAAAGAAAGTTTATGAAAGTTGGCACGGTGGTGCAGGAGTTATTAATAAACCATTGAGCTTGAATATGGTGGAATCGTAGATTAGAATCTCGAGTTCAAATCCTGTAGTTGCTTGTACAAAACCTTGTTCGGAGTGAAAGGCATATGAATATGCCCTATAAAAAATCGAATTTTCAAACTCATGAATTTCACAAATTTTACAAAATGATACCACTCAGGTCATGTTCCTTGTTAGCACATTATAAATTTTTCAAGTAATCTCGCAAATAAAAATTCAACATTATATGATAATATACCATAATCAACACAAATTTCAAAATATTAGTCATTTGCCAAATCAGTATCTTGTTTAACAAGCACAACTTCAAAGTATGATGTGCAAGCCAACAGGTATACAGACATACAGGCTCATGAACCTTTCAGATCACAGACTTTCGGTACGACAGTTAGAATTAGGGAGTTTGATTTTCAGTCAAATGTAAAAATAATATACGAATACATGTGGATTTATAGGACATTTATGCATAGTTAGAATCCGGATTGTACCAGTGCCGACAGGTCACTCACTACTGACTGGTATAAGTTGTTACTCTGGTGAATATGTCCAAATGGTTCGCCACCTCATGGTTCGGATAGTCGACCCCGTGCCGAAACGTCTACAGGTTTAGAAGTCTGTAAATTACACCAAAACATACCTTACAGTGTAAAAATGCACGGGCTTTTATGAGAGGTAAAAACCAATCTAAGCCTTGAGCAGCATTGGAAACAATAGATAAAATTTCATTTATACTTTCTCCCAATGACAGAAGGCTGAATATGACATCCAGAGCAAGAGGCATCTTCTTTAAGACATCTTTGTATGACAATATCGCCGATCTGAAAGAATTGAGATGTAACATGGAGGGTAATGTAATGTGAAACAGTGAAGGTACATAATGGCATGGAATCTGAATTAGGGATTGAAATCATTGAATGCCCAATTTGCACTAACCAATAAGAATATTCTCATTACTACCAAAGAAAAATCATTATTTCTTGAGAAATTGTCCAAAAATACAATGATCTATCCTCATGCACCTTATTCCTTCTGTGTATAAGGATATGCAATTCAAGTTGTTCAAAGATTATTTTAATATCGAATATTGATATTTTGTCTGCTGTTGTACACAATGAATATACTTGCACAATGAATACCTTTTTCTTCCAAGCTTGTGATGAATTTGAGCAAGAGCATAGTTTATCTTTACAGTTCTGTACTTGATTGGAATGCTTTCCAAAATACTAATCGCATTATGATCATCATCATTGTTATGACAACAAACATGTATTCTGAAAAACAAAATTCCAGTCATTCAATCCTAAAATATCTAAATTCATATAATCATAACAACAGAACATCATAACAACAGAACATCATATCAACAGAAGCTGGGTCATTGAGAGAAGTACTAATAATGTTTTCAGTAAATCCAACTTCAACATAATTAACACTCAAATCTAGCCTAGTATCGAACGATTTACATACTTTGTTAAAATATTTTAATTCTTAACTAAAAACATAACAAGACCAACTTACTTGTATTTCACATCAACTTCTGAAGGTAATTTATTGAAACTAGAAACATTTTTTTGATTCTGTTTGAGACCATTTTTCCTCACATTTATTGCTTGTCGATAAACCGACTCTGCTATTCGAAAATGTTTTTTCTTGAAATTGACATCAGCCTGATGCAGAAGTATTTCATATTGATTTGCTGGTGAATAAGTCTCACTGAAATAAGAAAAATAGGGTAAATTAAATGAAGCCTTCACCAATTCCATTACACACGAGAAAATAAATTTAGGTTACATTATATTTTTTTCAAACAGAAAAAAAGCTTTATTTTTAGGGTTTGAAATTTAAAAGTTACCCAAAATAAAAATGATATTGCACTGGGTAAATAAAGTTTTCATAACGCACCTGTTGTTTTTGATTGCAGTCGCAAGAAATCCACATAATATTTCCAAGGATGCGTTGAGTTTTTCTGATCGAAGTTGAGTCAGATGACCCAGGAGGCTTTGTGTTGAAGTAGTCGACATTTTATTACCAATATGATTTTCAACTAGGATGCTAGACGATAATTAAAAATATAGTATTTAATATAGGCCTACAAAACAAGATGGTGGCTATTCGAAACTCTCATCTGAATCGATTCGAACAATTTACTATTCAATTCTGAACCTTCTTATTGCCACATTGAGGAATTCTATCACATGCAGTCATAGTTTTTAAAAGTCATTTGTCACATTTCCTTTACATACCGGTAAGTCATACCGTTATATACCGTATCTGATAGAATGGTACCGTATCCCACGTGACTGGAGAAAATAGGCATAAAGAGACATGACATTTTAAATAATGAGAATTTGGAGCAATCGGTCATCCTAGCATAAATACAAAAATATGCATTTTTCTGTACTTTTGGTCAGACTGCTAGACTGTGTCTGGTCAATCCAACTGGACAAGCAACGGAATGGATTATATAGGAATAATGACCTAGGTAAAGCTAGCGGCCACTTCCAGCGGACAGTTACCAATTTTTCCAAATTTGAACCCGCCATGTTCCACGACAGTTGTCGCGAATTCACTTAATTGCGGCTACATGGATGCAAAAAATTAGGTGATTCTCCCTTTTAGAAACTGACGACAGACCTGAAACATAATAAAAAACAAAAATGATTGAAACAAGACATTTTTTCCTCGATAAAATGAATTATTGCTCAGAAGCTCATTTATCGACAAAATCTAAAATTTAACTGAGTTGAAGCGTAATTTATGCAAGAAATAATTTTTTCTCATCCAATTCATTAATTCGGTGAATTTGATGAAGATATATAAAACATATATTAAATTTTAAAACAATTCCACTTTGCGGAAAGTTGGGAAATACCCCCCAATTAAAGGAAAATTTTTAAGAAATTGTCAATATAACTCAGTTAAAGCGTCATCTATGCAGGAAATAATATTTTCTCATCCAATTCATTAATACAGTGTATTTGGTGGACAAATATAAAATACATATTAAAATTTAAAAAAAATCCACCGTGCGGAAAGTAGAAAAATTCCCCCCAGTTTAAGAAAAAAATATAGGAAATCTCCAATTTAACTCAGTTAAAGCGTAATTTAGGTAAGAAGGAATTTTTTCTCATCCAATTCATTAATGCAGTGTGTTTGGTGGACAAATATAAAATACATATTGTAATTTAAAAAAAATCCACCGTGCGGAAAGTAGGGAAATTCCCCCCAATTTGATGAAAATATTTGAGAAATCGTCTATTTAACTCAGTTAAAGCGTAATTTATTCAAGAAAGAATATTTTCTCATCCAATTCATTTATATGGTGTATTTGGTGGACAAATATAAAATACATATTAAAATTAAAAAAAAATCCACAGTGCGGAAAGTAGGGAAATTCCCCTCAATTTAAGAAAACAATATAAGAAAATTGTCAATTTGACTCAGTTAAAGCGTAATTTAGGTAAGAAGGAATTTTTTCTCATCCAATTCATTATTGCAATGTGTTTGGTGGACAAATATAAAATAGATATTAAAATTAAAAAAAAATCCACCGTGCGGAAAGTAGAGAAATTCCCCTCAATTTAATGAAAATATTTAGGAAATCGTCTATCCAACTCAGTTAAAGCATAATTTATGCAAGAAAGAATATTTTCTCATTCAATTCATTAATACAATATATTTGGTGGACAAATATAAAATAAATATTAAAATTTAAAAAAAATCCACCGTGCGGAAAGTAGGGAAATTCCCCTCAATTTAAGAAAACAATATAAGAAAATTGTCAATTTGACTCAGTTAAAGCGTAATTTAGGTAAGAAGGAATTTTTTCTCATCCAATTCATTAATGCAGTGTGTTTGGTGGACAAATATAAAATACATATTGTAATTTAAAAAAAATCCACCGTGCGGAAAGTAGGGAAATTCCCCCCAATTTGATGAAAATATTTGAGAAATCGTCTATTTAACTCAGTTAAAGCGTAATTTATTCAAGAAAGAATATTTTCTCATCCAATTCATTTATATGGTGTATTTGGTGGACAAATATAAAATACATATTAAAATTAAAAAAAAATCCACCGTGCGGGAAGTAGGGAAATTCCCCTCAATTTATTGAAAATATTTAAGAAATCGTCTATCCAACTCAGTTAAAAAATAATTTATGCAAGAAAGAATATTTTCTCATCCAATTCATTAATACAGTGTATTTGGTGGAGAAATATAAAATACATATTAAAATTTGAAAAAAATCCACCGTGCGGAAAGTAGGGAAATTCCCCCAATTGAAGAAAAAAATATAAGAAATCGTCAATTTGACTCAGTTAAAGCGTGATTTAGGTAAGAAGGAGCTTTTCTCATCCAATTCATTAATGCAGTGTTTTTGGTGGAAAAATATAAAATACATATTATAATTTTAAAAAAATCCACCGTGCGGAAAGTAGGGAAATCCCCCCAATTGAAGAAAAAAATATAAGAAATCGGCAATTTAACTCAATTAAAGCGTAATTTAGGTAAGAAGGAATTTTTTCTCATCCAATTCATTAATGCAGTGTGTTTGGTGGACAAATATAAAATACATATTAAAATTTAAAAAATCTACCGTGCGGAAAGTAGGGAATTCCCCCTCAATTAAAAAATATATATAAGAAATCGTCAATTTGACTCAGTTAAAGCGTAATTTAGGTAAGAAGGAATTTTTCTCATCCAATTCATTAATGCAGTGTGTTTGGTGGACAAATATAAAATACATATTAAAATTTAAAAAATCTACCGTGCGGAAAGTAGGGAATTCCCCCTCAATTAAAAAATATATATAAGAAATCGTCAATTTGACTCAGTTAAAGCGTAATTTAGGTAAGAAGGAATTTTTTCTCATCCAATTCATTAATGCAGTGTGTTTGGTGGACAAATATAAAATACATATCAAAAGTTAAAAAAAATTCACCATGCGGAAAGTAGGGAAATTCGGTACTCTCGAAATATGGACACAAAGATGACGCACAACCTGAATATAAAAGATGTACCAGGATAGGTTCAGATTTAGAATGTAGATTGTACGCTTTTGGGAGCGCAGGGAATAACCCATTTATGCAAAAAATAATTTTTTCTCATCCAATTTATTAATACAGTGTATTTGGTGGACGAATATAAAATACATATTAAAATTTAAAAAAAAATCCACCGTGCGGAAAGTAGGGAAATTCCCCCCAATTTGATGAAAATATTTGAGAAATCGTCTATTTAACTCAGTTAAAGCGTAATTTATCCAAGAAAGAATATTTTCTCATCCAATTCATTAATACGGTGTATTTGGTGGACGAATATAAAATACATATTAAAATTTAAAAAAAATCCACCGTGCGGAAAGTAGGGAAATTCCCCCCAATTTGATGAAAATATTTGAGAAATCGTCTATTTAACTCAGTTAAAGCGTAATTTATCCAAGAAAGAATATTTTCTCATCCAGTTAATTAATACAGTGTATTTGATGGTGATATATAAAACGAATATTAGATTTTAAAAATATTTCACCGTGCGGAAAGTTGGGAAATTCCCCTAACTTATGTTAAAATCAACGGAATCGTAAATTTATATAAATTAAAGCGAAATCTTGTCATATTTATTGATCATTCCCATTCTCCTCCATAACTAAATATTATTTTTGAAGTTTTATCATGTTCTTATTTCATTTTATTGGTTTACACTACAACCTCGTAACACCCCCTCTCACTCCATCTCAGTAGTAACTTATGCTGGTATCTTTGGGTCACCTTCGGTGAACGTGCAGCCTTAACCCAGTACATCAGCAGCCTAAATCAGAATAGTATTGTCAACCTTAACAGATGAGGTGGCGTCATCAAGATTAGTAACGATTTGACACTTATGGCGCTTCATTTGTTATGTCGAATATGTATGTCGCCGAACCGTTTAATGCTGTTGTTAAAAAATATCTCAGAATTTGAAAGACTGTGAAACTGTATTAAAGAGCTAAAGGAAGTATGGCACACCGTACTAAGACGTTGGAAGAAACGACGATACGATCGATAGCAGCCGCTACGATCACTGTAAACGTATGAAGAAACTTTCAATTCCCAAATGAAGTTTTTCACATGAATCGATCAACAAATCGTTTTTTATTCGCCAATCACAAAAAAAATGGAAGCAAAAAATATCACGAAAAACTTGTATACAGTAGAAACTACAGTAGAAATCCAACAATTCTTTTCCGAAAACTTGCATAGTGATATTTGTTCATTTTAGATTAATTTAATGCAGGGATGTTCAATACAAACCTAATATTTGAATATTGCGACTTTCGAATATCGTTTTTTTGGTGTTTTTGAGAATACCGAATATGACGCACATTTCCTAGCGCCGTCAAACTTTCGATTAAAAAAAAAATATTCACAGCCATTCCATTTTTTTATCGCAATTGAAATCAGCCCGTGCGCGTCGTGGCACTAAATTATGGCCAGCATGAAAGAAAATTCAAAAAGCGCAATTACAATTATTACACAATATTCACAATTATTATCGTCTATTCCAATAAATCTGAAAGCAAATTGTGTCGCAATTAATTGTTTTCACCCTCAATTTCGATAGTGACCGAACATAACAGGAATTTTTTTCATTTCTTACAATTAAGAGTTTATAAAATGACCTTTAAATGTTATTTAATATCTAACGCGGATTTTATCATTATCCCGACGTCGTTGATGACAATATCGTTCACTTTAAGTTGGCGATATCAATAAGCAAAATTAAAATAATACCACCAGACATGAAAGATTAGCGCCGACTCAAATCAAGTAAAAAACCGACTTAAAAAATAAAACAAGTTTTCAGGTCTTAATTCTCCATCAGTGGCGGACGGTAATTTTGGGAATCAATCATTTTGATTATTGACGAATTGGTAAACAAAGGTACATAAGCATACCGTTCTTAGTTTTTATTCGTTATTACTATGTTCTTCCTTCTTTCCGTATGTTCTTTGTTTATTTATTATGCTGTAATCTAATTCTAACATGTAGTTGTTGGATTTTAAGCATAATATA